GTCAAAGAAAACAAGGAAATTTTATAAACATTAGAGAAGGAGTGGAGGTTGCAGCGGTGGTGGTCGCCAGCATCGCCACTGCGCGCGGTCGCGTCGCGGCAGGCGTCGCATTGATCGCATCTGCTGCCCAGATGGCGATGGGAGGTTGACTACAGGACCCGATCGATTACCAGTGATTTGGGTTAGGGTATGGGTGGGGTTTAGTGAATTAGCTTATCCTTAATGAGGATGATAGCAGTGTTGTCCGATGTTCGCGGGCATGGGCCCACATGGGCGTCATCGTTCTTCGCGGCGGTCGCTGTTGCAGCACTCGCGGGGTGTCGCACGTCGTCTTGCAGTCGCCGTTGGAACTGGGCGCCTAGGCCCATCACTATGATGGAATGAGCTTCGAGATCGGATCCTGTATCTTCATTTGGAAACGGATTGTCCAGCCCTATTAAAACATGCTGCTTGGGAATTGGAATCGAGCCAAGTACTCCCATTACGCCTCTTTTCTTCGGAATCGCTTTTTTCTAGGTCCATTCAGCGAGTTATCGATTCCACTCGTTCAAAAACAAGACATTTTCTTTTGTATATAGTTGAATCAGTAGCTTAACCCGTTCCTTTGTTTTTCACTGTCACGATTTGTGTAATTACACGAAAACAAGGTAATCGTATCAGGAGATTCCCGAGGCAAATTACCTCGAATTCGATTTTCAGCGAAGGATGCGCCATGTTCCTGAATGCCATATTTGATTAACTTCATCATTAATTCTATACGATGTCGGCCTGACTAAACAAATAAGAATTTCGACTGTAACAGTGCCACCCAACTTGTCCTTTTGATGGAAACGGGTGTGGTGCGATTCACGCGTCAATATAATGAGGTCATCGGCCAAAATCCGCTAAAACATCATGCCTACCATCATAACTGAAGAAATAAGAACTTATAAGTAGAATAAGTAAAGAAATGACCAACTATACATGTTTACAGAAGAATTGCGTTTACTAGAATCGAAAAAATTTAAAGTTATTCTTATTCTGAATGTTTGACAAGTAAATTGTTGACCTATGAGGAGAATTCTCAATCTCGAAGGGGCTTTTTTGCCATAGCAAAGAGATTTGCTCTATACATGGTGAAGCCGTGGACTACTGCAAATTTATTTGGTCCATCTCAACAGAAAGGTA